GACAAATGGATATTATCTTTTTATCTCCTGGGTTTGCCATTATTGTAACTGTTGTTCTTCTGCTTTTTAGTTGTTGTTGCAAATGGGGCAAAGCTTTTAGGGCAGCAACAGCCGATGGCTAAAAGTGCGGCTGCGGATGCGGATGCGAATGGCTGGGAGCTGGAAGCTGCGAGCAGAGAGCTGAGAGCTGAAAACTGGGAACTTGGAGCTCAACTCAACCGAGCTGAGCTGAGTTGGAGCTGTTAAAAATGCCTTAACTTGCACCGACAGACAGCGAGCGAGCGAAGGGAAGTTTTATGTGCGGCCAACGTGGCGTATACGTAATGTGCTTAAGCCTCGAAATTTAATTTGATTTTCCAATTAAACCAGCGCGCGCCAAGCTTCACGAGTCAAAATGTGTAAAGTGTGTGTAAAGTGTGCAAACCTGTGCAACTTTTATACGTACATACCTATACGAGAATACGTATATATATAGTACGTATATAGTTGTGTACAAAAATATGCAATTCTTAATTGAAAATTGATTTCGCCTGGAAGGCAGGCAGCCTCAAGTGCAAATTGCTTCATTTGTATGCAATTTGCGGGTTTGCCTGTGCGTTTCGGCTTTTGGGTTGCTTCGGTTTGGTTTTTGGTCGTTGGCTGTTGGTTTTTGGCTGCAACTGCATTTCGGTCTGTTTGTGTGCGGCATTTTTCTCGGATCCTGTGGAGCCTCCGCTCTCACCTGCTGCTCGCAGCTGTTTGCACTGGAGTCTCGGCATCGGCATCGGCAACGGCAACGGCATCGGCAATGGCCATTTAATTTAATGCATTATTTAACGCAAACAATTTGGGCTCTGCACTCCGATCCATCTGGCGGCGAACCGACTAATTCCCAGCGACATGGCCTAATTCGGGAAGTGCCATGAACCCCGCCGTAGCAGGAGCCATTGCATAAATTAAGCCCACCGAATTACGTATTACGTATTATTATTATTGTTATTATGGCCGGTGACACGAGACCAGCAACCGCATGACAGGACTCCAAAGCCCAATGCCGATGCCCATCCATATACATATACGGCGTACGATATATAGTATATCCATTCTTGATAAGCAGTTAAATGAGCGATGGCTGTGCATATGGAATATCGGGCGAGGCTGTGTGGATGTGGGATTAACATGTTGCGGCTTGTCGCACGTAATTTATTCAAGCAACATGTCGGGAGTTCACCAGTGGACCCACACACTGGTCCGACCACAAAAGATGTTAATTAAGAAGCCAAAGTTAATCGATTTGCGGGCCAGCATGTTGATAGCTGCGGCTGCCTTTGGTGCGTGTTTCTATGGGGAGAGGAGAGAGGGGCAGGGGGGCATAAACCAACTGTGGCTGATGCCATTGACTTAACTTGGCCGACTGCACGGGATTCTGATTCAACATTTGCCGAGTGGGAGCGCGGCTTATCGCAGTCAAAGCGAGCTCGGCCATTCCTTTGACCCTTTGGCTTTGCTGCAGGAAAAAATAACTCAATCTGTCCAAGAGCCGGTGGAACAAAAACTAAAACCGACGCAAACATAAATGACCGGCAGATAGATGGAACGCTTTCCCTTTTGGCCCGGCGATTGTTGCAACGCAACAGCAACAGAGATTGCAGAAAAAATACTGAAATAGAAATAGAAACAGAAACAGAATTAAAACATTTCTACCAGCTACAGTTGCTGCCGCCGGAAATTCACTAATTCAAAGATGGAGTCCGTTGCTGCAAAGTTTAACTTGCACTGCTTCCGCTTCCCTCGCTTTTCCTGCCTCGCTTTTCCTCCCTTCCTACTTGCCCCATTGCCCCGTGCCCCTTTAGACATTTTAGGGGAGTGGCAGGACCTCCCCCCCTGCGAGTCCTTCTTCCACTCAGACATTTTTCTTTCTTTCGAGCGATTGCTGTGCCATTTCTTTCGTGCTACTTGGGGAGCTTTTAATGTTTTATGCCTGATTGAGTTCTGCTGGGTTTCGGGTTTGCAGACTCTCCTCCTGTTCGCCTCCGCTGGACATTTCTGTGCGATTTCCGCCTTTGTGGCTTATGTTTTGAGCATTTCTGTTATTAAACTTACGGCCACTTCAACTGGCTTTGTGCTCCCGCCCGTTGCTAAGTAATGAGATCGATTCTCTTTATTTTCCATTATTTATCCCGCTCCCTTCCCTCCCCCTTCGACCTCCGCCCCTTTGTTTTGTTTGGCTTTCCTTCGCCCACTTTTTAATTGTTGTTCTGGGCCTGATGAATTGGAATTCATAGATGGTTGGCGTCGGCTTTGGTTTGTTTGCGCCGCAACGCTTATTGATTTTGAGGCTGTTCTGCCCACTGTGAAAATGTACACTTACATTTTTTGGATCGAAGAGGAAATCAAGGGGCTATCGCCGAACCAAAATGCCCTTACATATAATCATATACCTCTCCTCATAGGAATCATTTTTAGGTTTGTTTTTTTATGCCCCCCATTCAGGATGCACACTTTCTTTCCACAAAAAAAGGCTCCATGTCAAGGACTAATTTATTGTTTTAAGGCCTGGAAATTCCTGCTTTGGGCCGCGTTGCATGCGAACATATCGTGTACTCAATTAGTCATTACATTAGTCGGCTTCTATGTATCTAATTGATGTATTTGCCCGGCAACGTTTTGTTTCAGCCAGGAGACCCCCTGTTTCGCCCTGGTTTATTCATTGTGCTGTGCTAAATAAATAAAGCAATTTGTAACTGAGTCACGTAAATTGTAATCTGGCAAATAAATTGATTTGTTTGTTAAAATCGCTGCAAGCCAGCACGAAGGGTCGTAGGAGTGTAGCGACTGTCAGGCAGGCGGCTGCTTTGATGGAACTGAAACCGGGAACAGGGCTCATAGCATCCAGCAACTATCTGAAAAATATCGATATCCATTACGGCCCGCCTGTCAGCCGGCATTGTTTTGCCGCTCAGCTCAAACAGGTCATGGATTGGAGAAGCGAAAAAGGAAAGCAAACGGAGCTCAAAGCTTTGTTCTCTGCTTTTGATAGGACAAAGTCCTTTTGCTGCCAGCGGCGTGTTTTTCCTGGCATTCTGCCTCGCTGCAGATTGAATCGTATGCCTTTCGACACCTGTGACTTGTGGCGTCTAAATTATCATGTGGATTGCAATGCAATTAATTTAATTTACGACGCTCAGTCTGTTGCATATCGCTTACGAGCGTTTATCTTATTATTATTGCTGTTAACTTGCGGCAGCTGCATTAGCACGGTAAATAATTCAATGCGAAATTCCAAAGGTTTGGCAAATATTTGTCTGCCTGTCTGTCTGACGGCAGACGTTCGGGCTGCCAAAACAAAATTTATCTCGAGGAATTTGATTTTAATATTAAACAGGTCTGGCCAATGTCGGAGCAACACCAACACACTTCCAATCCCGGAGACACATGCAAAGCGGTCTGCCAGGTTGGCAAAGCCCCGAAAAGCTGCAACTGGAGCCCAACTATTTTGCCAGCTTTCCGATGCGAACTTTTCGGTTTTCAGTTTTCGGTTTCGCCGGCCAGAACCGAAACGTCTGTCCGCCTGTGGCTGCCGCTCTGATTTACAAGCGTAAAATAGCAGTGGCATAAAATATTTAGCCATTTTGTATCGACCGTCTGAGGGTCGAGAGTAGAGAGTCTCTAGTTCAGATCCTGATTCAGACTCAGAGTTCTGTCTGTGGGTTCGGAGTTCGCCGGACTGCCAGTTTGTTTCTGCGGCTGCTGTGAAGAGGCTTCACTTCTGCGGGGTCGGCGGTTTTGGCCAGCACTCCGCTCTCAGCTCTCGGCTCTCAGCCATTCGCTTTTGCAGGGGCTCGTGTTTATTTTTAATGACTTGTTATTGCGGGCACTGCATTGAAATGCTCGCCATTTAAAGCCGCAACACCATCGCATAATTGCTTAAATTTCCACGTTAACAATGCCAGCCAAAAACTCTCTCACTCTGGCCAACGCATTTATTAAATTTTCATTAAAATTTATAGTTGCCTCGCTGTGGTGGCCGGGCGACCATAAATCAGCAAATTAATATTAGGTTGTGGCAATGCCGACGGAAGGTCGGCCAGCCATTGTGCATAACACGTGGATAAGCATAATTCATGTTCGCCAGTGGGCGGGGCCCTTATATTCCCCCTCCCCCTCCCCCTCGTCTCTGTAAAATTTGTGACACATTCGAAAATATTTCGTCCAAATATGCGGTGGCCTGGCATGTGACAAATTGAATGTGCAGCACTCGCCCGTTCCATTTAAAGCCAAGAGTGCGGACAGAAGGGCACTTTAAGGATGTGCCAACTCCTCGTCCATTAGGCCCTCTCTGCCGTGGGTATCGGTAGTGGTATCGGTATCGTTTGGCCATGGCTAACGGCTGGCTTTCGTCCAGGGTCCTTCGTCCTTCTCCGCTGCAGCTGCCATGTAACGTGCAAATAACAAATAAATGGCCAACTAAAACCAACATCAATCAGGTCATGTTTATGCGGGCGTGCTGCGCTGCGACGAGTTTGCCCGATTCTCTGACTCGGGGCACTGATGCAGTTCAAACTGGCCATCAGTTTGTCGAGTGTATATACATTTAATGCAATCGGCTCCAGTTAATGATCCTGCCGCCCAACCCCACTCACTCCAAATGGCAACCTCAAAGTTAATAAAAGCAGATAGCTAAGGCCAAGATGTTCGAAAGCTTATCCCAAAAGTATGCAGCAAGAATTACTAGTATACAAAATCGAAAAAAAGAAGTTTTGAAGAGTTTAATTCACCTCCCCTTATCAATTATATCAGGAAGAGGTTACTTTAAGAAATATTATTCTCAGAAGTGCATTGATTGAACAATTTATATCACGACATTCAATATTTAATAATTAATTTAACAACGAGATAAGATGCAACCAAAAGCAATTTGCCCTTTGTTGATGGTGATTCAATTATTTATCTTATCGGAAGTCGGAGGTTTCCTCCTCAACAGTTTAAATTGCGATCCCCAGTTCAGCCGTTAAGCATTCTTGTAAAGATGTTCGAACTGCGAGGACTAATCGTTATTCTTAGCCTTTTCCTATGTGAGCGAAGGATTTTCTATAGCAAATCACTACTTAAAAAATCCTTTTTCAGTTTCAGGAGATGTCCAAGGCGATTGTCAGCTGCGCTTGGCTGACACATGGACCGATCGTATTTTTGCTTATTATGGTAAAAACGGCTACGAACTTTTGCTCACGGATCGGCTGGGAACTTATCAGCAAATAAGTTTGCTTTGCGGTGGCAATGAAGCCGTCTTTACCACCACCTGTCAGTGGAACGGTCGACTTTATCCAGATCTGCCCAAAAAGAATTGCACTGTGGCAATTCCAGCATCGGTTGAGACGTCAAGGGATTCCACTTGTGGTGCCACTATGTACCATGTGGGCTTCTGGTTTAAGAAGACTTTCTTGGAGCTCTATAGAAACTGCTACGACGGCGCAACAATGACGGCCTATTTCTCCATCGCCAAGGTTTACCCCACATACTTAAGTAAGTTTAAATAATATTTCTTTTTCCTCAAAGCTAAAACTTCTTTTCGTATGCAGGTTCCATTCGTCCACCTACCGCCTTCGATCGTGATGGGATCATCTCTCCTGCAGACGAGGCAACCTTTCAGCAGAAAAATATCTACAATCGGTTCGAGACACTCCTGGGACCCAAGCAAAACTACATACTTTCTGCCAACAGTCTCTCCTTCGACCGAGGACATCTCACTCCGGTCGCGGACTTCACTTTTCCCACGGTCATGCGGGCGACAAACAAGTACTTGAACGTTGTGCCTCAGTACTACAGCTTCAATCGCGGCAACTGGAAGACCGTGGAGGCTTGGGTGCGCGATCAGCACCAAATCCAGAACGTCTGCACCGGAGCCTTGGGCGTCCTCGAGTTGAACAATAAGCAAAATCTTCGGACTCCGATTTACCTGGCTCCGAAGAAGAACCCCGTTCCCAGGTGGCTGTACAAGATCGTTCACAACTTCAGCACCAAGCGGAAGACTGTGATTGTGACTTCCAACAATGGCTGGGACACCAATCCATTCTCATTCTGTCGCGTTGTCACCTGCCCCCCATCCTTGCATGCAAGTGGCACTGGATTCACCTTCTGCTGCGATCCCAACCACTTCATTAATACATACGTTCCAAATCTGGCTAATGTTTGTTAGGACTAGACTGAGGAGAACAACAATTATCCATAATGAGCACACATATATAAGCAAATACTAAAAAAAGATATACATTAGAGCGCAGGAAATTATTATTATCAGACATTACAATTCAGAATATACCTGTTACTCGAAAATTTAAGAGTGTATAATTGATTGCCAAACTAATCATCTCTGAGAGAGATAACTTATTAGTCACTTTTATTAATGCAGTGGCCGGTGACGAATAGCTTATTTCAATATCACTTTAGTTCCGCAGTTCTACTGTGCAGCTCTGTCTGTAAGGATGCCTCACTTTTTTAATTGTGTTATTTCTGCGATGCAGTTTTCACAAACCTTTGCCAGAAAAACAGCAAAAATAAGAATATATTAAAAAATATTATATATGTATATATAAAATATACATATATTGCAATAATTTTACAGCTCCCTAACAATGAAATTTCTTATGGTTTACTTGTCCTAAAGTCAGAGATTTGAGGGAAAGCATAAAAGGTTTGGCTTGCCATAAAACCTTGTACAGTGTTTGGTGCTTAAATGTGCCACGTAGATGTCGCTTTATAACAACATCAAATACTCAAAAGATGGCTGTTGGTATTATTGCAGTGCGCCATCTGCCGTGATACTCAGAGAGATGTGCGAGGGAGCACACTGTACATACAACGAGTGAAAGGGACAACATTAAGAGTGACTGAATACGCATTAAATCAAAAAGAGACCACTATATGGGCAAGTGCGCACTTTTTAAAAAAGGGAAATTCTTGAATTCAAGGGGATGTTGTTACATAACCAACCATCAACCCTCAAGTTTTAATCACTTAAATTTTACAAAAGGAAAAGAAAACGAATGAATTCGAAAAAAATATATTGTATAAAGTAAAAGACGAATCGACTATTTCAATTGTAACCCATTAACATGATTGTATTTCGTAATTTCACCTCTTCATTTATTTACACCTCATTTGCACATTAAGCGAATAAAGACTGTTGACAGATAAGCCTTTTAAACGGCTGAAAACCATTACATTTGGATGAAATTACACTTCCGATCCAGGTTCAACTACCATAATCGAGTTGGCCAATTTACTCATTGGCTTACTCCACATACTTCGTCGGCTGGACGATGACCATGTTTGAGCGCCATACGCATTTTGGCCTGTCTGTGGCAAATTTATTCAGCTAATTTCATGCTCTTGGAAAAGCGATTTTCCCCTGGAACTACGTTTTGCCGACTTCCGTCAAGGCGGCTCTGCCAAGCCGGTCGAACAGAGTCGCCCAGTCGACTTATGTAACGCTTGCAAATTGCAGTTTTACTTCTTTGGCGGTTGGGTATTTGTTCGCCATCGCAATTGCCGTCGCCGTCTCGTTGCTCATACGCCGTGTGTTCGGTGTTCGGTGGTCCGCTGGTCTGCTAGTCTGGTGTCTTGGTGTTTTTGTGTCTTTGGGCATTGTGCAACTTGTGACACAAATTCTTTGGCGCAGTCGGTGGCAGTGGTTTTGTAATTTTGGTTATTTACCCGGCATCGACGGGAAAGGCAGCCAGCAGCCAGTGGTCGCCGCCTTTGTTGAATCACCGCGCTCGAGGTACTCGTAATTATCAAATGCAGTTTTGCCCATTTCCAGCATTACGGCCACTGCGGCGAGCACAAACACGAAATTCGAATTGAAAACCGCCAACGAAACGATATCGAAGAGCAGGGGCAAAAGTGTGCTTCAAACTTTCTTTTTATGCGCCACTTTTAGCACTCACTTCTTTGGCCAAACATTCGTAGTTGTCTCGATTCGTATTCGTTTCTTCGCTTTGTTAGCCGCTTCATTGATTTTCATTTACGCCGAAAACGAAGCCGAAGACTCGCCGCCGCCGTAATTGTTGCAATTTAACGACGCCCGGCGATGAGGTAACCCATCCTCCGGATTTTGCGGCGAGTGAAAGAGTATTTTTATATTGTGGCTAAGAGAGCGCCCGAGCTGCATTTGCATTTTGGGAAATGCTACGACAGTTCGCCGCCATTTGCATACCAATTGGGCCCATTGTAAGCCACATAAATATTTAGATAGGCTTTTATTTAGTCCCGGCTATTTAGTGTCTGCTGCAATTTGCGTAAGACCCACTGGCGCTTTCACTGACCCCTCCAAGCAGCCGGAACCCCGAAAACTGACCTGGGATCAGGGAAACTGCTTTGTTTTGACTTGACTTGATGCATTTGATTGGCTTTAATGCCCGACTAATGCAGCGTGAAATTCCGCTGCTATTAGAAATTAAGATCTCAAAATATGGCGTCCACTATGCGGATTTCTAATTTGATCTCCGTCACGTTGACGCGAAATGTGTGAATTATACAAGTGGCAAGTAGAGAAGTTTTCACCGAAAACCTTAGTTTCGCTTTTTATTAGCGCTACTAATTAAACTCGCTCTGTGTAGTACATTAATTTGTGTGTTTTACTGGCACAAAGATACCATTCCGTTGATGGGTAAACGACCAACTCTTGATAATCGTCTTTAAAGTTCATCACTCCGTCGTGTAGTTCACAATTTGTTGTGGAGCGTAAGAGGTTGTTATTTGGGACCGTAAGACGCTTAAGGGGGCTCTTAACGGTATCGTGTAATGTCTTAATTAAGCCGCAAAAGTGCCGTGAAAAATGGCCAACTGAAGCCCAGTGGGCGTAGCCAAAGCCACCTTTTTGTATGGCTGTAATTAAGCCTATTCATGTGGTGATTTTCTAAGATGGGCTGATAGATGTGTTTTGGGTAACTTCAATGAGGAAGTGATGGTGTTTCAGTAGGACTATATTTTGCATACACCAGATATATATCTTATATACTATACATTTGAAGTACAACGTATTTATCCCATTAACTCTCCAATTAGCAGATTTACATTCCCTCGACAAGTTCGTTGGCTTGCAGTATTCGAATTTTTGGTTTCCAGCTGCCCCATGTGCATGACTAAAACCGTGCATGTTTATCTATGTGAAAAAACTATATCACACCGAATAAATACAATCTCCTCGCTCACGATCGCACTCTCAGTCGGTTGGATTTTGATTCGACTCTCGGCAGCTCTCTCGTTTTGCAGCTTTTGTCGCATTTTGGAGCTCTTGCGCCTGATGCGCGCGTCTTGGGTTTTCAGTTTCGTTCACGACTCCGGCGCGTTTGGCAGCAGCAAAAGCAGCGGCAAAAGCTAAAAATACAGCCACAAAAAACGAAAAAACGATATCACTTTGTGCTCTTTTATTACGTGTACCTTATAAAAAGAAGAGTTTAGTTATAAATCAAATTACGTGTTTTGCCTGCGCTCTTTTCAAGCTGCTGCTGTTGTTGTTCGATCGTCCACGTTTTAGAGCGAAAACCCAAAAACCCGAAAACAGCTGTTTACAAGACAAGTCGAAAAGCCAACGAAAAACAAACGCTCGCTCGCGCCTAATATGAAGTCTAAGTTCGTTGCCTAAGTCTTTTGTTTTGTGCGGAGGCGCACGCGAATTTCTGTGAATCGAGAAGCCGATCGTTGCGGTGCGGTGTTCGGTGTGCGGTGTGCGTTGTGAGTGCAGAAACAAATCGAAATAAACCAGACAATTTACTGGCAGCTGCGGCAGGGAAACCAGTTGTGCAACTGCTCTTCGAACAATCCATTGAACCCTTGACCAGAGCCCAGTGCCCAGTGCATCCCTCCTTATCGCAGAAACCGCAAAATGGCGCCGAAGAAGGAGGCAACCTTGGGCCAGCAGCAGCCGCAGCAGCCCGTGATGGACCTCGAAAGGATAAAGCGCCACTTCAGCTGGTCCGATTCCAGTGCCATGTGAGTCACAGCCATTACAGCTGCCCTAAAGCCTCGTCTTAATGGGCCATAAAGTAGTCGTAAAGACGAGCGACTCCGAAACGGAACTGAACCATCCACTAATCATCTGGAGTTTGTTGTCGAAGTCTTTTGACTGCTTCGATTTCTTGGGGCAATAAATACGTATAGTGGTTTGATCCGAGGTCGCGGCTCAAGAACATTGGGTTTTCGAATCGATCGAGTAGAAGTAGAACTGCGTTTTATGGCCGTTTGGCCGAGTGGGCTAAAACATTGCATAACTAACACTCGCACGTGTTCTCTGTCATTTATTTTCGGACCAGCGAATCGAACAACATTTGTCAGCGAGATTCGCCGATCAATGAATATTTAAATGAGCCAAGGCGAAATCACATTCATTACTGGCTGGGCTGTGGAGTATTTGTTTGAAATCCAAACGTGAATGACTCTTCGAGAGTCCCTCGCACAAAGTTCGATGCATTGCCCAAGGCTTACAAGATGGTGGCCGGGTGAAATGCAAATTCAGACAACTCACTGGGATCGGATCATTATCGCCGAGATAGGGAATTCGAATTCGTAAGCCCGCTTGTCGCCGCAAATTCCCAATTTCGCGGCGCGTAATAGTCTGCGCAAATTCCACGTCATGCTTATTAAGCGCTGGGCTTAATTGCATTCGTTCGCTGGCTAAGCAACTCCAGCCACTCCGCCAAGTGACGAGTGAAATTCGCAATTATATAAACACGTAGTAGGGTAACAAATTCATAACAAGTTATGCCGCGATGAGCCGCTGAACGACGCCGAAGGCTTAAAATAGAACCCAGGGTCGCCGCCTGTAGGGCGATGGAATAGAAGTCGCTTTTAGACCCACTCACCAATTCGGTAGCTCGGTAGCTCGGCAACTCGGCAACGCATGGCTGGCTTTCAGCACTTAGCACTTAATTCAACTAATTGCAAGTTTCAATAATTTCCCTTGCAAATCCGCACAATAAATCGCAGGCAAACGAGCTCCGCACAAATTAACGTCCATCATCGCCATCGCAATCAGCGTCGAGTTAGCGATTTTTGCAGCTGACTGGATTGTGGCACATCCGGCAATCGGTCGATTTCGGACGATGTGTGAAAAGTATTTAGCCGTAATTCACCATAATTGAAGGTGCAGGGGGTGTGTGCCCGGGCGAAGTTATCGGCTTTATGTAAATACGAATTGGTCATTCATTTATGCTGAGTTTCTTCTTTTGTTCGGCTTGTGAATGACATAATATTGGCAACACATGCGATGCTAAACAGAGGCGGGGTTCTCTTTATTATTTAGAGATACTAACTAACCTTTATGTTTAGGATCT